AAACGCCTCTTTCAGCCTGGAGTAAACCTATCACTTGTTCCCGGACGCGGCCCCATGTTGTTATTGCACACAGGCAGAGCAAATTCCCATGGCTACAAACATGAATAAGGGCTCGTTTTCTTTTTTAAAGCCCAAACACTGCTGTGCCAGGGCGTGAGTCATCTGCGCACAGCAGGTGTGTGACCTGCGTTTCCACCTGGGACGAGCCCCAGAGATCCCGAGGGGGGAGGGATATTTGCTCTCTGGCAAGAGCTGAGTCAGGATGCAACCCTAGCAGGAGCTCTCCCTTAATAGTCAGCGTTGCGTGGGTTAGGAAAGGAGCTATTATCTCTGAGCTATTATCTCAACAAAGGAACTCGGGACCGTCCCTGTCCACACCTTTCCACAGGATTCCCACCGCAAGCAGGCGTGGGTCATCTGCAGACCACGGAGTCCATGCAGCCCAGGGGTGCAGCGCACTCGACCTTCCTGACTGCCGAGCTGAGAGAAAGCTCGTTTCAGGACTGAGGCCCTCGTTCTGTAATTCTCCACAGCCTCCTCGCGCCTGCAGATGAGCAGACAGACATATTCCCAGCAAACCCTGCATGCTCCTTCTCGCCCTGCTGAAGGCCTCGGTCTTCTTTCTTCCTTACTCTGCCTGCACGCGTCACTCCGCCACACTTCCACAGCGACTGAGCTCCTACAGCCAGGGACTTTCCTGCTGGCTGGGTGGACGCAGGTGGGGGGCGGAGCAGGGCCCCGGCTGACCAGGAAGTCTCCCAGCCCTCCACACAGTGGGTCAGAGACCGAGGAGACGCAGACGGCGCAGAAAACAGTCTGAGCAGAAACGTCCAACAGCTCCGGGAATGTGCTCAGCCTGATGGGGAGTTTCTGAAAACATTGTTGTTCTAAAAAGCATGTGTCACTGTTCACGAGCCATTATTTGCTGAAAACATTTTGAGACTTTATCTTACTAGATTCATCTGTAAAGATAAACAGATATTCTCACCGGCGAGATCAGCAGGTCAAAACTGTGTCCACACCTCCCCCTGGTGGTTCAGGGAGGTACTGCAGTCTGTGAACAGGGTCCAATCCAAGTCACCAAATTCACAGAGATTGCTGCTTACAGGCATTTCTCACTGGTGCCTCACTGCTCATGTTGTATCTGACCTCAAGTAAATTCAACATGGTCTTTACTGAATTCCCCCTTGCCCAGGGCGCAG